GTATTTACATTTTACACACTGTCCAAACTTTTTTGGAATAGATTTTGTAAAAATAAATGTATTTATTTTAAGAATACTGCTCCTTTTAATTGTCAAAAAAAAAACAATATTCTTACTATGTATTGAAAAATTGAAATATGTTTCAATCAAGTGGTAAATTTACTTTCACAAACCAGCCGCAGAGTACTCCAACTGCCTGCAGTACATGTAATGGTTGCAGATCCTCCTGCAGATGTGTAGCCAGGATTACAGGCAAATGAAACCTTAGAGCCATCTGGAAATGAATCTTGCAGAATGGCTTCGCCCTTCAAATTCATGTCGGCTCCTCCAACAGGTTTAGAACAACTTTGAGCTACAAAAAACACACACATTTTGCAGAGAAAAACAGAAATGATTAATTATATGAGGGAGGATGAAGCAGCAGCACAGGGTGGATCAAGTTGGTAACAATCATTTTCACACAAGCACAGTTTGTCAGTGGGCAGAAAGCAAACAGTCAACAATGGATGCGATGATAAAGAAAATAATCAACTAATTGTTAGCCTAATTCGAAATGAAGTTGTGCTAAACAATTTATCACTGAGGCAAGTGAGTGGTATGCACAGAAACTATATCATTAAAAAATTACCAATCCATACACACTCAGAGGTGGAGGATGGAAAATTGACCCAATTTGATGAAACCAGCAATGCATTGACTAAGGGTGTAAATCACCAGCTTTATCACAATATAATATTATATCAATGTGTTTAGATGACTATACGTTTTTCAATACCATAAAGTCATGATACGATTTCGAAATTGAATACACAAATCGGTGATTGGCATGAWGCAGTAAGCCAATCTAAGGTTTATGGTGAGTGGGGATGTATAAGACCCATATGAGCGGAGGCCCATTACTCTCCCCAAAAAGACCGAGCTTTATTCAAACTTTTGCATGTCTCAGATGAAGGACACCAGGTTAGAAACACTCAGTGTTCTGAGTTCTTGGAATGTCGCTCTAACAATCATTTAGGGAACGATTGTGTTAAAGAAACACCGATCTACATTGACCATATGAATTGATGTTTTTCTCATGCCTTGATGTAATTGAATCATTAGTTATTTAATTGATGTATCAATGAAAAATCTGTCATCTTCATCGATATATCTATGTGGATCAATGTATTGTTACACCTCCAGTGTCCACAGGGCAGAATATTTTATGTCCCAATGAGACGSTGATGTTCCGATCACCACTGACAGGGGAACAAAAACAAAAATATGACAAAAACGATAAATCCACTGACAAATGCAGGTGGTGACCTGTACCACCACATAACTGTAAAACAGAAAAAAACAAACAAAAAACCCCCCCCAAAACTGAGAACCAATCACTGAAACCCTTTTTAAAATCCATTTCAAAAATAACTTAAAAACATGCTGACCAAAACAACACACAGTAAAACACTAAGAAAAATCTGAATCATTCTAATGATATGATGCTAGGACATTCTAGCCTTTTCCCACCTATTTGAAAGGATGTTGACATTTTGCCAGCAGTGGCTGACATTTTCTTCCTAAACTGCTCTGACCAGCAACGCTGATTGTGCAACGCTGCTCTGAGCATTGGCTTGTCATTTGCTTACGCTTCATTATWTCTACRAATTTCACCAAACYGTGCTGATGTCAGGGAGTTATACAGTCGAGTTTTCATTTGAATTCATTTTGAGTTTTTCATTTCTGTCGATGTGTTTTAAAGAGACACTCATTTGAAAATAGGATCAAAGTAAATTACCCAGGCTTTTCTAGTGACCCTTAAAGACATAAGCAATGAACATTATTTTATCAGGCTTTTGTTTGAATTTGTTCCAAATTCGATTATGATTTGAAAAGTCAAAGTATGTTTTTTTTCCACTATGGAATAGCGCATGTTAGCAAAGTTTGTTGATCCTCTTCGTCACTTGACACATCACACACTGCCATTGGTTGAGGAGCTTTGTTTACAAAACAAATRTCCACATGGTTTTTAAATGGTTTTTACTTGCTTACTTTATAAAACACATTAAGTTGATTTATGTTGCAGTTTGGTGACAGGAGCCTTGTAATATTATTTATACCNCCCCCCCAAAACTGAGAACCAATCACTGAAACCCTTTTTAAAATCCATTTCAAAAATAACTTAAAAACATGCTGACCAAAACAACACACAGTAAAACACTAAGAAAAATCTGAATCATTCTAATGATATGATGCTAGGACATTCTAGCCTTTTCCCACCTATTTGAAAGGATGTTGACATTTTGCCAGCAGTGGCTGACATTTTCTTCCTAAACTGCTCTGACCAGCAACGCTGATTGTGCAACGCTGCTCTGAGCATTGGCTTGTCATTTGCTTACGCTTCATTATWTCTACRAATTTCACCAAACYGTGCTGATGTCAGGGAGTTATACAGTCGAGTTTTCATTTGAATTCATTTTGAGTTTTTCATTTCTGTCGATGTGTTTTAAAGAGACACTCATTTGAAAATAGGATCAAAGTAAATTACCCAGGCTTTTCTAGTGACCCTTAAAGACATAAGCAATGAACATTATTTTATCAGGCTTTTGTTTGAATTTGTTCCAAATTCGATTATGATTTGAAAAGTCAAAGTATGTTTTTTTTCCACTATGGAATAGCGCATGTTAGCAAAGTTTGTTGATCCTCTTCGTCACTTGACACATCACACACTGCCATTGGTTGAGGAGCTTTGTTTACAAAACAAATRTCCACATGGTTTTTAAATGGTTTTTACTTGCTTACTTTATAAAACACATTAAGTTGATTTATGTTGCAGTTTGGTGACAGGAGCCTTGTAATATTATTTATACCTTTTCTGCTACTTTTACATTAGACTTTATGAAGTTTTATTTGTTTTAGGAAACAAAATGGTTCCTACAAAAACCTGAATGTGAAACTTTTCCTWAARCTTCAWGGTGATATCTTGAACACTGAGGAAGTTATGGGCAAAAATAGAGAACCAGGTGAAATGATCACAAAGGCTCCGTTGTTTCAGCTGTGAATTACAGCAAGTCTTTTTAGTCATTGCTTAAATCAGGGGTTCCCAAACCTTTTTGTGTCAAGGCCCCCCGAACAACATTAGCTTCTGGCCATGGACCCCCTTGCAAGTTATCAAAAGAAAATGCAACAATACATGTAAAGAAACATAAACTTTTTAAATGTTTTTCCTCACTTTTATTCACTGTTGAATAGCTGTAAAGACACACCGGCTGCTCAGTCTGCAGCTCTGTGCTCCCGCTCCACTGCAGACTGTTTACAGGTAGGGGCCAAGGTTAGTGAAAAAATGTGGACTGGATAATAACCTGGCATGTCTTTCTATGTAGCAGAGAGCTTGCGGTGAAAAGTTGGAGTGAATTTAAATCAATATGTGTATTTTTCTGATACGTAAGTGGCAGAGTTTTCTTTTTTTTATGGCGGCCACCCAGGGGAACTCCTTTGGGAGCTCCTGACTTAAAYAACATTTTAGCAGTTATTGCACATCTGCTTTTCTTCGCTGAAACTGTGCTGTAAATATTCTGCCTTTTTCAATATTTATTACACATGCACWTTATTGAAAACTGAYTTAATTCGACTCAATCGTGAGTCCGACACGCCCGTTTCTAAAACTGCACACTGTTTTTCTGTTGTACAGTATTTTATTATTTTATTTTTCCTTTTACTATTGCTAATTTTATATACTGTTTTTAACACTTAAGAACTTTTTTTGTGAACCTATGTATTTGTTGCTGCTGTTAACCCAGAATTGCCCCTCTGCAGGACAATAAAGACTGTTTTTATTCTATTCCATTCAAGAAAACATGAGCTTGATTTTACCTAAACAAACATCCATAACTTTTTTAATCCTCAAGATAATCACATCATTTTGGTGATGTTTTGTAAGTTTTTAAAGTTCTTTCTGTATCCGTTGTCAGATTTGATATTGGTGTGGAATACAGTTTTTATCCACATCCCTATCATTTGCACATCCAGTTACAATACAGGGTTTGACTATTGTTGTTTTGGTGTGAGACTTAAAACAATCATTGCATATTGTCTTTTTTTCCCCACCAGGGTGGTTTTGGACCGAGCAGTCGTGGGATCTTGTTGACTCAGAGATCTTTCCTATTAACAGCTCAGAAACACATGATCCATGACCCAGGCTGAACTCACCTTGAGCCGTGATGGCAAGACAGCACAGCAGAAAGAAGGCGGTGACACTCATGACAGGATCTGACACGATAATCTGTATACAAGTTATTCCTGTAAACAAAATAAAAGGTAAATGAAAATCGGAAATTTAACTAAGATTTAATTCAAACAGGTTTTTCATTTTCATTAACTAAGCAAGTTTTTACACAAAATGTACATGGTGTTAAAGGATAAAAAAAAAAGCTTAGCAGTAACACTCAGTTTTATTTCACAATTTTTTGAAACAACAATCTATGAAAAAAAACTATCAGTGATTGAACATAACATAAAGGATGTCTCACTAATCCCATCAAAGCTTGAATAGAATGCTGTAATAGTTTTGAATTGGGACCCAGGGTATAACAAGGATTTACAAAAAATGTGATAACAATAATAATAAATGCAAAAGCAACAAGTTATGAAAATCTGTCTGTCCATCCTTTTTGTTACTTCACAGAAATAACACAGTTATTCCTTCATTTTCAAAATAATCTACCCTGAAACTACTAAAAGTCCTTCTGTGTGAATCAGCTATATTTCAATAAATCTTACAACTTGACAACCGCAGAAGAAACTGGTAGATAAACGCCCATGACACCCCCAAACTTTCCTAATAACACATGCTCAAACCACTTTGTTCTCATGTTGTTTAAACCTATTTTGAGCTGAGTAAGGAGTAAATACAAGCTTACCTTTCTCGACCGAACGTGATGAAATAACAATAAAAGTAGGAGCTACTTTCTCGACAGTCTGTCCACTCTGCTTCTCAGAAGAAGTGAGTGTCATACTGCGTGAGAAGAAGGGTGCAGCTGCAACTTGCAGACCCTGAAAATATGGAGAGCCATTTCATTCAAAATGAAACAAATAAAT